TAGCTGGCTAGCTAGCTGGCTAGCTAGCCAGCTGGCTAGCATATGGCTAGCTGCAGCTAGCGAGTGTCTCTGGCTAGCTAGCTAGCTGCTGGTGGCTATCTGCGTCTAGCTAGCTGTTTCTGTTTTGGGACTCGTTTTAAAGAAAGATTAAAGAATTGAAAATGAAATGAAAACGGGGGAGACGCTCGGGCGCATGCAGCCAAACCCTAAACCCTAAACCCTAGTTTTGTTTTGCTGCGCGCGTTTATTGTTCAGCTTCTAGGGGCTCTCTGAACTCCGCCTTAAGCCCCTTTTTTGTTTAGTTATCCTTTCTTGTTTGTTTTGTTCCTTTTTGTCTTTTTTTGTTCCTTTTTGTTTCCTTTTTTTCTTTTTTTTCTTCTTTTCTCCTTAATAATTCAACTGAGTTCCCGCGGGGGCTCTCGAGGACTCGGGAGGGGAGAGACAGGCGGAGAAGCGGGAAAATTGGAGAAGGCGTTGCGCCGGGAGGGGGGTGTACATTGAATTAAGTCGAATTTAATCGGTTTATTTCATTTTAAAGTTCAAAAACTGAATCAAATTAAGTTTATTAATTGAATAATTGAAAAAAATGAACTAAATTGTCGAGATTTACGCCAGGAAAGTGCAAATCGAAAGCAGCGTCACCCAGCTGTACGTACGTGCACCCAATGGTCGTCTCTGTGCTCTGTGCGGATTGGAGCAGCAACAGGGGACTTACATGCGTTTAGAGCCAATAAAGAGCATTTAAAACATTAAAAGGGCAATTTAATTGTCAAAAATAAAGTTTTAAATGTATTTTGACCATTTTGATCTCTGCTGCGATGCAGCAGCTGCGCATACACCTCAGAGCTGTCGATACACCCAAGAAGCGGGGGCCCCTGCAGCTCGCAGGAAAACCCTAAAAAGCCACAATCGAGAGATAATAACTTTTAAAAGGTCGTTTAAATGTAATTAATGCTTTAAAACAATTAAATTAAACCTTTTTTGGGCTAAAAATGCGGAAATAACGCGCGGGAGGCAGCAGCGGCGGTTGCGGGGGCCCGGGCCTCCCCGCTGCTGCCAGCTGGGGTTTAGGGTTTAGGGCTTAGGGTTTAGGGTTTAGGGTTTGCAGTTAAAAGGTATTTCGGTTTTTTTCGAAGGTATTTATCTTTATTTTTTTGTAGAAGAGGAACATCGCCTCGCTTCTCCCTTTCAGGTGTATCGACAGCTAGCCAAGCTCAAGAAGCAACACGAAGAAGAGCCCAAACCCTAAACCCTAAACCCTAAACCCTAATTCCGCGAGGTAGGCTTTTTTCGGGGCTGTGGGAGGGCGGTTTGGGGCCAGGATCGAGGGTTTAGTGTTTAGGGTTTAGGGTTTAGGGTTTAGGGTTTGACAGAGCCCGCGAACCCGGGAGACAAAGAAAAGTAGCAGCGGCAAAACAGAAAAAAATAAAATTGAAAAAAAGAGAAAATATAAAACTCCAAAATGACGAAAAACAAAAAAGAGACAACAGAAGAATCTGCAGCTCAAAATAATAAATAAATAAATGAATAAATAAATAAACAAATAAAACAAATAAATAAGTAAATATCTAATAAACGTTTAATTAATTATTCAGTTCATTAAATTTGAATTAAGGGAACAGCCAGAGAGGACCGCAGCAGTGGACTTGAATTTGTTTACTATTCATTTATTTAATTTAGTCTCTATTATTATTGTATTATTTAATTCATTTTACTTTATTTATTTATTTATTTATTTATTTTTGTGAATGCAGAAGGCAATGAAGAGCGCCCGCTCCTCGGGTCCTCCAGCAGCAGCAGCAGAAGATGATGCTGCAGCAGCAGCAGCAGTCGAGGTGAGCTCGGTGTACAGACAGCTGCTGCTTTTCTTTGTCCTTTGCAGTCCCAAAGTTCTTTAATTTTAATATTTAATCGTAATTATTTAGTTGTAATTATTTAATTTTAATTATTTAATCGTTACCCATTATATTCTTTTTTGTTTTTATTCATTAAATGAATTTCCACAGATAATGCAACTTTTTCAGGTGTCTGTACACCTGAAAGTGTCATTTTTTTGCAGCAAAAAGCGGAAAAATGTAATAATAATAAATGAACAATAACAAAACAAATAAATAAATAAATAAATAAATAAATAATATAAAATAATAAATGATGGAGAAAAGGTGATTTTCGATTTGCTGCTGCACAGGCGCGCGGGTTTTGCCTCCCCTGCTGCTACCCAGCAGCAGAAACAGCAGCAGCAGCAGCAGCAGCAGCAACTTCGTTTGAGCTGCAGGAGGAGACAAAGAAGGAGACTTTGTTAGTGGATGAAGCAACAGTGGAGCGTTTGCCAACAAAGCTTTTAAATGAATTAATTGAAGATGCTGTCAAAGACAAAACAAAAACAAAAGTCCAAAGAGAAAACTCTTTTAGTGTTTCCAAAGGAATTGTTTCCTTCGCCTCCTTCCTCGTTTCCGAGTCTTACCGCGAGCAGCAGCAGCAGCAGCAGCAGCAGGAAGCAGGGGAAGAGGAGGGGCAGCAGCAGCAGCAGCAGCAGCAAAAAGACGCCGCCGCCCCCCAGCAGCAGCAGCAGCAGCAGCAGCAGCTGTCGGACGTGCCGCAGCCGCTGAGTGCCTTCTTGCCTCCTTCTCCTTTCTTTGTCTTTGATGGCCAACTTGGAATTGACGTAAAAGCATTTAAAATGGATTTCCAACAAAACCCTAATTTTGTTCCCTCTTTTTACATCCCCGAAGGCGAAAACTACTCCCCCACAGAGTCCCAAACCCTAAAAAAGGGTTTATCCCGCGCCACGCAAATCGACCTCTTCGGGGAGGAGGACTTGGCCTTCATCGCCGACGGAGACAATTAATTAATTGATAATTAATTAATTAATTATTTCATTATTTATTTATTTATTTATTTATTTGATGAAGTAATTCATTTCTCCTCAATGTTTCGCATTTGCTTCGCTCCCGTCTTTGCTGCGGCGGGCAGAAAGCCCCTCTTCCCCGCCAAACCCTAAACCCTAAACCCTAAACCCTAGACAGGGAAGCGCCGTGCGCTGCGGGGGTCGGCTTGGCAGGGCTTCCTTTCAAATGCAAAGGCTGACCCTCATAGTCTGCATGCAGCTAGCTAGCTAGCTAGCTAGCTGGCTGGCTACCTGGCTAGCTAGCTGGCTAGCTAGCTGGCTAACTAGCTGGCTGACTGGCTGGCTAGCTAGCTGGCTGGCTAGCTATCTGGCTAGCTAGCTGGTTGGCTACCTGGGTAGCTAGCTGGCTAGCTAGCCGGCTAGATAGCTGGCCGGCCGGCTGGCTATCTGGCTAGCTAGCTAGCTGGATAGCTAGCTAGCTGGGTAGCTAGCTAGCTGGCCAGCTAGCTAGCTAGCTAGCTAGCTGGGCTGCTGTGGTCGATGGCAGTGGCGTTCTTCTTCCACCATTCGAACAATCTTTCAGACTTGAGCATTTGGCTTTTAGAAGGTACGCGTTTACTCTAGGGTTTAGGGTTTAGGGTTTAGGGTTTTAGGATGTACTTTAGAGTTTGTCTCCATGCATTCTAAGGCAAAGCAGGGTTTAGCATTTATTAGGGTTTGCATTCTAGGGTTTAGGGTTTAGGGTTTAGGGTTTAGACCGCGTTTCGGTGAAGAAAACTTCAAAAGGAATATGGGATATTGTGCAGTTTCCAAACGTTAAACCTGAAACCCTAAACCCTAGATCACACGATCACACGCCTTTTATCTCAAACCCTAAACCCTAAACTCTTTTACTGCTGCTTGAATTGCAAGAAGGGCGAAATGGGAATTTCCTTAAACCCTAAATGTTGAATCCCAGTCTCAGCCGCAAACCTAAACCCTAAAACATGGTTTGCGAGGAGCGCCAGCTTTCAAAACCCAGGCCTAACCCCTAAGCCTCAGCTCTAAACCGTAAACCGTAAACCCTAAAACAGGGTTTGGGAGGAGTGCCAGCTTTCGAAACCCAGCTCCAACCCCTATGCCTCAGCTCTAAGTTCTAAACCTCAAACCCTAAAACAGGGTTTGCGAGGAGTGCCAGCTTTCGAAACCCAGCCCTAAACCCTAAGCCTCAGCTCTAAACTCTAAACCCTAAACTCTAAACCAGGGTTTGCGCGATCGTTGGGTCTTAAGATTCGATTGCGGCGTTCGCGAGCTCAGGCAGCAATGCAAATGCATCGAGAGGGTTTATAAATCCGGTTTAATGTATTAAAATAAATTGAAATTGAATTCATTTATTTTAATTAATTAAATTAATTTATTTTAATTAATTAAAACAAACAACGAACTTCAAAATGGGCGCAGAAAGGCGAAAAGAGCCGGCGGTGCTGCTGCACAAGCTGCAGAGGTCACTCGAGGGAGTGGAAACCACCCAAAAATGGATTAAAATGGCAAAAAAAGCCGAATAATTTAATAAAAAGGTTGGACTTGAATTTAAAATGTTAAATTGGATTAATTTGGCGGTTTAAATCCCCCGAAAGGCTCCGTTTTGCAAAAGAAAAAGGAAATCGAAGCGGCGGACCAGTGGAGCGGCGCGGCTGCACAGCCGACAGCCGCATGCCGCAGCGACTGCTCGTCGATTTCGAACGTTTTGACGCGAAATTTGGAGTTTTTTGACAAAAAATAATAAATAAATACCATTTAATTTGCATTTTGCGCTTCAAAACCTTCTTTAGGGACCCGCTTTGCTCTTAATCGGACCATGACGGCGCCGGCTGCAGCCGCGGCCCGCCCGCTGTTTCCCGAGGTGTACGTCCAGCTAAAAGCGAGAAAAAGCTTCAGTTTGAAGAAGAACTTACTTTATTTAATTCATTTTCTGCATTTTATTTCGTATTTCATCTCCACTGCGGACTGCGTGCTGCTGCAGCGCCCGCGAGGCGCACCCCCAGGCCGCTCAGGTGTACATACGCCGCAAGTGATCGCAGCAGCAGCAGCAGCGGGAGCGGGACAGCAGCAGCAAATTAACTCTTTCTTGTCTTTTGCAGAAGCAGCGCAGCAAACAGAACAGCAGACAGAGGCCCAAGAAGACAAAGAAAAGGAGCACAAGGAAGCTGCTGCTGCTCCTGCTGCTCCTGCTGCTGCTGCTGCAAACCCGCCAGCAGCAACATCAGAAGCGCCGGACGCAGCAGCGGCTGAGACCGCGCCTGCTGCTGCTGCTCCGGAGAAAGCAGCAGCAGCGGAAAGCCCAGCAGCAGCAGCAGCAGCAGCACCAAGCCCAGCAGCAGCAGCAGCAAAAAGCCCAGCTCCCCCTGGGACTACCTATGAGCAGGGCCTCCGTGAGCTGCTGCAGCACAGCAAGGAGATAGCGGAAACCCTAAAAAAGGGTTTAGGTGCTGCTGCGGGTTTGACTGCAGCAGCAAAAATTCAAACGGATTTAAAGAGGGAAATAGAAAGAGACGTGGACGCCCTGAAGGCAACGCTGCATCAGGAACACGAGAATCTGCTGCTGCTGCAGCAGCAGCAGCAGCAGCAGCAGCAGCTGCTGCGCTCGCAGCTAGGTCATGTCCTTCCGGTGTACATGCGGGTGCAAACCCCACAGGCAGCAGAAAGTATAAAAGAAAATGTTAATATAAGCAATAGCAGCCAGCAGCAGCTCACTTCGGGTGCTGCTGCTGCTGCTGCTGCTGCTGCTGCAGCTGCTGCTGCTGCTGCGTCTTTCTCTTTCTTCTTTTTGCTCTTCTAAGCACTGACTACCGGCAAGGCTATTTATTGATTTATTTATTTATTTGGCATTTTATTCGCCACTGGCTTTCTTATTTATTTGTATTTAGACTTCTCACAAAACTCACCCCAAACCCTAAACCCTAAACCCTAAAACCTAAAAGAGCGTAACCCAATGCGCACGTGCGTGTTGGAGAAAACGAGAAACTTGGCCCTCCTTTTCAGCTCGACAGTTGAGAGTTTGAAAAGTTGTTTTATTATTTATTTATTTATTTATTTATTTATTTATTTATTTATTTATTTATTTATTTATTTTCTTTTTCTTCATCTCCCCCCGAAACCGAAGCAGCCAAACTCCACTCCCGCGTTGGATCATATCTCAAAGTTTTGTAAAGTTCCTGAAAAGCAAAACAGCCATTATCAAATGCCATTAACCCTAGCTAGCTAGCTAGCTAGCTAGCTAGCTAGCTAGCTGGCTGGCTAGCTTGATGGCTAGCTAGGAGTCCTTGCAGCTAGCCGCAAAGCTAGCTAGCTAGCCAGCTAGCCAGCTAGCTAGCTAGCTTGATAGCTAGCTCAGTCAGCTACTCCCTGTGGTCCAGTAGCTAACTAGTTATTTAGCTAGGTAGCTATTTAGCTAGCTAGCCAGCTAGCTAGCTTTTAATCTCGCTAGCTATTTAGCTGGCTAGCTAGCCAAATGGCTGGCCAGTTGAGCCAACTTGACCACCATTATTTTTGTAATTCAAAAAACAAAAAATAAACGAACAAACAAATAAATAAAATAAACAGATAATGGAACAAATAAACTAAATAATGGATGAATAAATAAATAAGTAAACAAATTAATAAATAAATATATAATTAAATAATATCATTTGATTTAAACTCACCTGTCTTGTGTACATTTTGCTAATTTGGTTTTCCAGAGTGCCCTGGCTCTGGAGCTCTTCGAACATATCCTAATTGACAAGTAAATAAAATAAATAAATAAATTAATTAATTAATTAGAAATAAATAGATAAATAAAATAAATAAACGGATAATAGGAAGTTCTGGAGGCTGAGGAGTTCGGGAAACAGCGAACAAAAAGACGAAGAAACGAAAACAAAAGGGTTTAGGGTTTAGGGTTTAGGGTTTAGGGTTTACATCCATGGCTTTGAGGGCGACTCGGAGCGCGGAAACGGGGAAAATGGCGCAATTGAAAGAAATGGATTTTATTTTATTCATTTTAATTATTTTTGTTTTTCCAAATTCTGTCATATTCGCCAAAAGAAAAACTCCAGGGTATTTCCCACGCAGCGCAGCGCCAAACGCAGCAAATGTTTCCTGAATAAATAAATAAATAAATAAATAATCGATTAATCAATTAATTAATTAATTGATTAATTAATTAATTCATTAATTAGTTAGTTAATTAGTTAATTAATAGTAATAATAATAAGGATTGATTTGATGTATTTGGTAGTTCGTTTGAATTAGTTAATTCATTATTGATTTGTTTACTTCTTCGGATTAACTGATTTAATTTTAATTTTAATTAATGCAATAATTATAATTAATGGATTAATTGCAATGAATTGAAGAATTGAAATTAATTAATTCGTTGTAATTAATGGACTTATTGCACTTAATGGATTAGTTGCAATTAACTGATTGATTAAAGTACAAAGAATTGTTTAAATTCAAAAGTTTTATGTTTATTATTTTATTTTATTTTATTTATTTTTATTTTTATTTACTTCATCTGGAAGTCCCTCGGGGAAGATGATGTGGGCCCCCGCCTCTACGTAGGCTTTGGCCCTTGCAAGGGCCCCGTCGAATCCTGAAGAGTGGAAAAAAGGGGAAAAGAGGAATAAAAAAGAAATAAAATGAAATTAATTTAATCTAAACAAATAGTTTTAGTAAAACAGGAAGAAATTCGGGAAAAAATGATCCAAAATCGACAAAAAACGCCAAAAAAAAGAAAAAGGAACGCGGGCGCTCGGGTGTACGTACACCGCAATTTGCTGAGGTGTACAGACATCTCAAGCCCCATTAACAAATAGCTGAAAGAACTTTTGCATGCAAATAAAGCATTTCCTTTTATGTTTTCTCAAAAACTGTGAAAAGCAATCAGAAGAGCTTAAAGGCAAATAAATGGGGCTGGCTTTTGCGGTGTATACACACCTAAATGAGGCCAAACGCTCAACGAAAAAAAGATATTTTGAATGAAAAATAAATCTTTTAAGTTTATATATGTACATTATATATGTAAAATATAAATATATTATATAGTTTACATGAAAACATATAAATGTAAATATAAATTATATTAATTATACATAATTTATAGCGATGCATGCATGCAGGTGTACATACACACCAACGCTTTGGAAATTATTTATTTTAAAGGAATTAAAATAAAGAAATATATGAATTTCAATTTTACTTTTCAACGAGAGATAATAAATAATTTTGGAGAATTATGGAAGTTGCATCTCTTTGCAAAATGACTTTCAAGAAATATTATTTTAAAGAATGCATGCAAATGAACAAAAAGAAATTAAAAAAAGAAAAACAGAAAAGGACAAGAAGAAAGAAAGGAAAAAATAAAAAGGGAAAATTAAAAATTAAAAATGATAGGACAAGAATAAAGGGGAAAGAATACACAAAAGAGTAGTGACAAAAATAAATTTAAAATAAATAAAAATGATAAAATAAAATAATAAAGATAAAAAGAAATAAAAATAGAGAAAAGACAGAAGAGACGGGAGATTTAGAAGGTTTCAAAATTAGTTTTTTCTTTTCTGGATTTTTATTTCATTTAAATAAAAATACTTTTGTTCTTCATTTGAATTGAAAAGTTATTTTCTCTTTTTTAAATTAAAAAGACTTTTTCTTTTTTAATTTTAAGTCAATTTAAAATAAAATAGATCAAAAAGTTTCATTTGATTCACATCAAATGCTTAATTTAATTTGTTTAATTCAAATTAAGCGATAAACTGCTGTTTTCCAGAGGCAGCAATTTGGTGCTGCTGCTGCTGCTGCTGCTGCCGCTGCTTTTGCTGCTGCTGCTGCTGCACCTGCTTACCTTCGACAGCAAATGCGTCAGTTCGGGCGCAAATCAAAAAGTCTTTTAAACTTTCGGATTTATTTTCTTTAATTGATTTTATCTTTTGCTGCATCTCGCAGCAGCTTATTAGCTGCTTCCCTTCCAGGTGGCCGCACCTGCAAGCAGCAGCAGCAGCAGCAGCAGCAGCAGGTGCTGCAGCAGCAAATGCAGCAGCTAATGTTGCAGCACCGAGAGCAGCAACAGCAGCAGCAGCAGCAGCAGATGCTGTAGGACAAAAAGCAGCACCTGCATCAGCAAAAGCGGCGACAACAGCAGCAGCGACAGCAGCAACAACAGCACAAACAACAGCAGCAGCAGCAGCAGCAGCACCATCAGCAGCAGCAGCAGCAGCGGCTCTGAATGAGCCAAAGGAAGAAAAAAAAGGCAGCAAAGGAAAAAAATAAATGAGATGAGTTTGTGAAATGAATTGCGTTGAGGAAATAAAATAAGATAAAATTTATAAATTAAATTAACTTGAAATAAGATAAAATAAGATTGAAATAAATAAAAAAAATAAAGCAAACAAAACGATAAAATAAATAAATAAATAACAAAAAGCAAACGTACAAAAAGAGACAAAAGAGTTTAAATTCAGAAAAGGTGATTTTAAAAGAAATACCTTTTTGTTTCTATTTGGTCTTCAATTTGAATTGCTGCTGCTCCTGCTGCAGCAATTGCTGCAGCAGCTTCGCCGCAGTCACCAAAACCTGTGTCTGCATCTGCAGCAACAGCAGCAGCAGCAGCAGCAGTAGCAAAGACAGCAGCAGCAGTAAGAGCAGCAGCACCAAATGCAGCAGCAGCAGCGAAAGCAGCAGTGGCAAAAGCAGAAGCATCAGCAGCAGCAGCAGCAGTAGTAGTAGTGCAAATGCAGCAGCAAATGCAGCAGCAGCAATTGAAGCAGCAGCAAATGCAGCAGCAGCAGCAGCAGCAGCAAAAGCAGCAGCAGGAAGAAGCAGCACATTTATCAACAGACAAATGCAGGAAGCAAATAAGAAACAAACGGACTCCTGCAGCACTGCTTCCTTGTGCACTTGTATCTTCTAAACCCTAAACCCTACATCCTAAACCCTAAACCCCAAACCCTAAGCCCTATGCCCTAAACCCTAAACCCTAAACCCCTGGGCCCAAACTCCAAACCCCAGATGCTAGACCTCAATCCCCAAACCCTAACCGCCAAACCCCAAACCCCAAACCCTAATCATTAAACCCTAATCCCGAAACCCTAGACCCATGCCGCAAACCCTAAACGTTAGGCTCCAAACCCTTAACCCTAACCCCGAGCCACAAACCCTAAACCCTAGGCCCCAGACCCTAAACCCTAAACCCTAAACCCTCGGGCTCACCGACGAGGAGGGGGAGTTTGGAAACAGTAGTGATTTCTTTCACTGTTTGGAGAAAAGAATTAAATGAAATAATTCCAATATCTGGAAGTCCTTGGGAGGCCGAAAGGGCAGCGCCTGGTGTACATACACCCCAAGGACCAAGGCCTATTTGCTCTTTTCATTTCTTTTGCAAATCATTTATTTCATTTTTCCTTGTTTATGGGGCCTGCAAGGGTTTAGCGTTTAGGGTTTAGGGTTTGGGGTTTAGGGTTTGGGGTTTGGGGTTTAGGGTTTAGGGTTTGGGGTTTAGGGTTTGGGTTTAGTGTTTGAGTCTTAGGGTTTGGGATTTAGAGTTTAGGGTTTAGGGTTTAGCATTTAGGGTTCAGGGTTTAGGGTTTAGGACTACGCAGCAGAAAGGGGAAGATAAGAGGAAATTAAAAATGGAAATAAAAAACATGAAAAGATATCAAAAATGCAAATTGAAATGGAATTACAAAAAGCCAAAATCCAATTTTATTTTTTGCATGCAAAAACTTTTGAATATCTTTCAAGGCGAAAAAGTAGAAATGAAAAATTAGAAATAAAACAATTCTAATAAATGTAAATTTAATTCTGATAATAATGATAATAATAATAATAATAATAATAATAATTAGAGTAATAATAATAATAATAATAATAATAATTAATAATAGTAATAATGATAATAAGAACAACAATAATGGTAATAATAATAACAGATAATAGTAATAATAAAACTAGTGGTAACACTAAGAATGATAATGATAATAGTAGTAATGATGACAATAACAATAATAATAAATAATTACAATAATAATAATAAAATAATAGTAATAATAATAAAATAATGACAACAACAATAATAATTAGGAATAGCAGTATAATAATAATAATAATAAAATAATTATAATAAAATAATAATAATAATAACAATTAGTAATAGTAGTATAATAGTAATAATAAAATAATTATAATAAAATAATAATAATAATAATCTTAATAGTAATCAGCAATAATAATACTAGTAATAAGTGGCTACAGAATACCATTTTTACATTTTTGCTTTTAAATAAATAAATAAATAAATAAATAAAACTTTAAAGAGGTTTTAAATGGCTAAAAAGAAACTTTCCCAACTCTACTTTTTTGAAAACAGCAGCAGATGTAAATAAATAAAAAATAAATAAACAAAAACAAATAAGAAGGAAGTAAAAAGGAAATGAAACAGAAATAAAAGAAAATGAAAAAGGAATAAAATAGAAATCAAAAAGGGTTAAACAATAAAAAAAGGTAATAGATGAGTAAAAACCAAATAGATAAAAGCACATGAAGACGAATAAAAAGCAATAAAAGCAAATAAACAAAATAGGAGATAAATAAAAGTAAATAAAAATGAATAAAAGTAAATAAATATAAATTAAAATAAATAAAAATGAATAAAATAAATAATAAAAACAAAAATAAATAATAAGAGTAAAAATACACCTGAGAGGTAAAGAGCTTTAAAGCCCCGGTCACTCGCGAGTCGCGCAGAAATGCCATTATACACTCCGGGGATTACTAGAAATTCGCGCTGCAGCAGGAGCTGCAGGCGGGCTCCCGGGCGCATTTCCGAGGCCATTAAGGAGAAAATAAAAGAGTTTTGAAAGTCCCTTTAAGTTTTAAAGAGAGTTTTAGAGTTTATTCGAAGAAAAACGGAGAAAAATGATGAAAATGAACCCCAGGTTCCCGCAATAGACACCCGCCCGCGAAAGGGCCCGGGGCTCGGGTGTACAGACACCCCGCCGTCTCGCGGCTCGTCGTCTTCAGAAAACGCATTCTGCTCATTTATTCTAATTTATTTTGAATTTTTAAATATCATTTTAATAATATTTGCCTTTTCAAACTGCAGGAACTGCATTTGAATGCAATAGCAGCGGCTCAGCAGCAGACACTCTGTGGAACCGCCAGGGAACATGGGGAGTTGATGAGGAATAGTTGGCTCGATTCAAAACGGTTTTTTTTTAATTCAGACTAAAATAAATATTTAAAATTCGAATAAAATCATTTCTGCTTAATTTGAGCTTGCGAAAGAGCAGAAACGAGAGCCGCAACAGACAGACCAGTGGACCATTGCCGACGCGAGGTGTACGTACACCCCATGATCCCAAACTTCACTGAGTTTGAAATACCCCATTTTTGCCTTTCTTTCAACTCCAAATTAATTCTTTTCTTATTATGAATGCTCCGCCCTTCTTAATTTTCATCTTGGAGTCTTAGAGGGGTTCATTTTTGTCTTTTTTTCGGGTGTATAGACAGCTCAGGCAGCAAGCTAACACTCCCCAGTGTTGTCGAAGATTAACTTGGTGTATTTACACTCGAAAAGCTGCTTCAAGTGAGCTCGCAGGAACCAGCAAAAGAATAGGGCTTCACCTATCAGTCCACTTTTAGCGTTTAGGGTTTAGGGTTTAGGTCTAGGGTTTAGGGATTAGGGTTTGGAATTTGGGGTTTAGGGTTTGGGGTTTAGGGTTTAGGGTTTTCCGTGAACAGCGTGGAGTTGAGGGCTTAGTTTTTAGTGCAGTTATGTGGGGATGCTTCTGCCGGCAACCTCTGTGCAACGCCTCCGACCGCCCTTCTAGGGTTTAGGGTTTAGGGTTTAGGGTTTGGGCGGATAGATACAACAGAAAAGGCTGAAGCAGCAGCTAAATCTCCAGGCAATTTTAAAAGGTTGAAAAATAAAAAATTCTCAAAGATTATGAAATGGATAAAGACATTTGCATGAGCGGCGCTTTATTTCCAGCGCGCACACAGTTTATTTCCTATTTCCTAAACCCTAAACCCTAAACCCTAAACCCTGAACCCTAAACACTGAATTCTAAGCCTAGATTTGATAGTAAATGGCGCAAATATGATCTTGACTTAAAAGGCTAAACGGCGAACCCTGGCCCTGCGCTCTACACCCGATGATACCCTAAGCCCCAAACCCTAAACCCTAAACCCCGAAATTAAACCCCAAACCCTAAACCCTAGTCCCTGATTTGTAGGAATAGCACAAGTCGTATATGCAAGCACCAAAACACCTCAGTAGAAATTCCAGTCGGCTCAAAAATTTAGTTCTTTGAGTCGAATTTATTTTAAGAAACTCGCAGGTCTAGGGTTTAGGGTTTAGGGTTTAGGTATAAAGGCTGAGTTTATTAGCTCTGCCGCTTGGGCCTAGGGTTTAGGGTTTAGGGTTTTGGTTTAGAAGTTCTTATCAGTTCTGCACACTTGACGTTTTGAAGAAGTTTGGGCTGTGGGGTTTAGGGTTTGTGTCCTACAGAACTCTCCGTAGTTAGGGATTAGGGTTTAGGGTTTAAGGGTTTAGGGCTTAGGGTTTGAAACTGTACCACTGCAAAGTCTCACTATGACGGACACTTCCAAAGTTTGCCTTCCGAATC